AGCCTGACATCCATGGCTCGGACGCAACGGACACTGGATGGGGAGGGTCTTGGATCCACTTGAGAAGATGAAAAATAAAAAGAGAGGGAAAAATTCAGCCATTCTGATTCAGCCCTGGCGATCAACCGATCAATGGCGATCCAAGGAATCACGGTGAAAAATTAGTCAGACAGACTGCAGGCTCACCGCCTCCTTTCAGTAGCCAATGGGTGACAATGACTCATCCTTAATTCCGTCAAGCTTATCTCCTTTAGGCAATTCCTGACCAGGCCAGCCCTGCAGCTGGAGCTCGGATGACCAATCTTTCCGCCCCGTTCCCTCGGATCCTTGCCCGGTGATTACTGATGTTATGAGCATTTATTGGAAATCAACACCTTCCTTCTTATGTATATAGGACATGACGGAAGAGCGCTGGAAGGTTCCAGGAATCCTGGATATCGAGCCTGTCCGAGATGATTAGATTTGAAATCACAGCTAAGTTTAAGAGCGGGGGTTATCAGGATTAGTGAGCGATTCAACTATCAGCCTTGCAAAGCTGAGTCCTTGACGACACGAGTCACATCCCACTATGTCAATCAAAGACAAGAAATGATCAGACCTCTTTGCTGTAGGTAGCAATGAACTGCGCTTTCGACCGCGATCCCAACCGCGATCCCGACCGCAATTTCGTGCTCTAGTCGATATCAGTAGGTAGAAGCTTACAGGAGTGTTCGACCTAAACGAATGCGAGGATTAATCCCGTGCCAGTTATCACTCCGATTTTCGACAGCTGTTTTAGAGTTTGTCGGAGTGACCGTCGTGACGAGATCCGGCGGAAGACTTAGGGTTGCCCATTGCGGATTACGGAATCAACATAACCGACAGTCTGGATCCTCGTATTCTTATCCTGATCCTCCGTTTTATCTTGATTACCCATCGGGCCATCAAGGGTTCATAATCAGCCTCTAAATCTGAGGTGATTCTGACAAGCTGTCACTAATCCTATCGGAAGCCCGGACTACACTGCCCCATCATGACTTCGAAATCTTGCAGGCTGAATCGGAAATTAGGGATTGATCAAATCTAATCTCCTTGGTTTGACAGCAGGTGCCCACGTAAGCCATAGGATATGCATAGTCTAAGCCATTCTCCGAGCCATTCCCCGGGATAAGGCTGCCATATTCTGGCTTTTTACACTTGAGCAGTACCGAGTATTGCCAATCATGTTTTGCAGGCGAGTCACGCTGTCACAGGTTCACTCACAGTGAGGACCTTATGCGAAGCGGCTCCCCAGTCGAGTATCGTATCAGAAGAGAGTCTATGGCAACGCAGACATACTGGAATTACCTGCACAACCATAGATAAGTTATTGTTGTCAACGTATACTTTTGGCTGGTATGAACAGCGTTTGTGATGTTCCTCCCCTCCGCAGCCAGAACGTCGAAAGCCCCCCTGTTTGATGGCGGTGTTGCTGGCGAGGGAGAATACACCCAGCCTTTTCTTATAAGATATCAGGCAACTATGAGGCCTCCCAAGTCCGAATAGGCTACCTAATAAATCCGATGTACTGCTCTCCAGATTTATGGTTATCAGTGATCACTTATCGGCCATGTGAATTACCCCAGTGCACAGCCCTGTGGCTGAATCATCCACCATGTGGAGGAGCTGGTCACTGCTATCGAGTCGGTATTATTGGCATTAAGAATTCCAACCTCTACAATTCAATGAGATATCATTGATGGCCAGTTTCTAGGATAGAGAATAGAAAACCTACCTTAACCCGCAAAGACTGACATGATTGTAATTGCATGCTTGCAAGCAATGAATCAGTGTTGCCTGCGGAGTAATTTGTCACACCTCATCCTCCCCAATATCAAGCACGAATTACCAATGATTCACGACCACGTTGAAACTTGAAGAAGTCAACTCAAAGCCAGCCATGGACTCATGATGGAACAGTCTTACGATATTCCAATTTTGATGACAATTCCTCAAGGTTCCTGGGGTGCACACTGTATACATATCCCCAATTCAGTAGTAGCTATCATCCAACTTCCATAGTGACGTCAACCATTTCCAATCGGGTTCTGTCGACATCATATCTGGAGAAGTCATCACAAATAAGCATCCAGAAGCATATGATGATTACTTCACAATTGTTCCAGACAACAAGATCACCGAAGGCGAAAATCTTTCATCCCTTTCACAATGACATTGTCGAGGTCGCAAGCAGGGAATTGGCGATGGGATACGTACCATATGTATTCATTGGGTGTTTCCGCACCGCGATACCATCGAGCCGATTATCAATGGGACTGAGGCGAAACACTTCCAGGTTGTTTTTCCATACTGTCGGATCTCCAGACTTTTATGACAATAACGAACAGTATCATTGTAGGTAGCAATAACGACACTGCCAGATGTCTTGACATCACACTCAATCAACCATCCTCGATATCATCGCGATAATCACGATACACTGTTATCAGCACCAATCACCGCTTATTTTTCTGCCAGACATAAAGCAAGACCAGCATAACCCCACCTCCCGTCGTCACCCTTAGTAACAATGCTTTATGCGCATAACACAAGGATAACTCTACAGAGTGACTAATCGGCGAGTCGGGGCTTTCGCGCTCCAGTCGCCGATTCCATCGTCCCGTGTCCACTGGGTTGTCGATGTTCTTCCACGGACCGGACCCTGGGCAATTGTTTCGTCCGGGCAGTGTGTGCAGAGCCGAGGTCCGAAGACAAGATTTGAGGTTCTGGCTGTCATGCTCTAGAAGTGTGTCAAGTCGGTTGACATGGAGTAATGGAGTAATTTTATGCATGTTGTGATGGTATCATTTTATTGTGAAATTGGCAGTTTGGGACTAACATGTGATATGCTTGAGGCGTCTTAATTCATGGAACCTACGGGGTGTTGGTAAGGCGCCAGGGGGGTGTCGCTATATCCCCACCCAAAAGTAACTCTGACTTTTGCCTGTGAGTGACTCAGCTTGCCTCTTCAGACTGGATTTGCAGAGCTGACCGGAAACAGTTCAGTTGTGTAGAGCTAAAAGAGGTGGTTCATCTACCAGATGGCCACGCCCCAATATCGATACGGAATTGTGTCCATAGTTGATATATTGGCCGCACCTTCTCTCACCTAAGTAAGGCATCTTCTTACTTGAGTTGAATCCAATCAACTGGGGGTAGACAATGAAGATAGTAAGAATATGTCTGATGATAACTACAGCTAGTGTTACGGTAGGAAACCGTGATAGTCAGACTGGAACAGCCGTTCAGGTCAAGATACACCCAGAAACCTTCCACACCGTCCAGTCATGCCGGTAATGGACTCGGTCAGCGCTGGTTGGAGTGGTGAAACCGTGCCTTCTCAAGCGTACGGATCCAGAAGGTTCGCAATCGCACTCCTGGCCCTTTACCTCGCCCGTTCACCCTTCCTCTCAAGGGAGCCGGATTGAGGGGCAACTGGACTCCATCACACGTTGGATGATGAATGGACGTAAAATTACAGCTGATGAACTGTGCGAATTTGAATATTGAATATATAAATTCTGTGTTCTTGATCACTTATTGGCTCAGTATCATATCTTAATTTTGATTCCGATGCCCTGCAGTCCGAAGGAACAAACTCTATCAAGAGAAAACTAATACGAACCCGAAAACGATAGATACATCGATCAAACCCTTCCTCCTCCTATATGAACCCTCCATTTCCTCTCTTACCATCCATCACTATCTCTTGCCATCTCTTACTTTCCGAAACTGTTCACACCCCCCGATGCACACGCGGAAAAAGCCAACCCTTCACCGCAGTAGGCATTTGCGTCAAATACCGAGTCTTTCCCAAACTTGATATAACCGTTCCAGGTACCCCCATGATCAAGCCTCAGGCACTGTGTACCGCAAACCTTGTTCCCCTCGATAACTGCTAGATAATGGTATATAGCCCCGGCAATCGTCTTTTGCAGGACGGTAGTATCACAGTTCCGACCTGAACCGTAGTATTCATACTGAAAATCATTAAAACTACCGCGCACGGTGCCACAGTTGTGCATATCTGACTGGGATTTGGCCGTGGATGCAATCGCGAAAGAAATAGAGTATAAGACACTGATAATAGTAAGGCAACTGCCCACCGCATTCAGGATTCATTCGCACACCTGGACCGGGGTACGAGCGGTCAATGAGGTGGTGTCATTCGAGGTTGGGATAGGGATCTCGGGGACGTTCTCATCGAGAGACAGCGAGAACTACCGATCAGGCAGCGGCTGGCCATCGATAGCAGAAGGTGATGTAATAACCAGTGCAGGCGTAAGACAAGAGAATATACTTAAAGTCAAGCTCAACACCTTTAGAGTATGCATAGTAGAAGCAGAGGCTGGTGATAAAGATAGAGAAAGAACCAAGACGAGCTGTAGTGCGATTCGAAGGGATAAGATCCATGAACTGAGTTCCTGTATTATGGTTTTCTCGAATTTCTGGCGGAGGCATGGCAGTGAAAGTGGATGGAAGGTGTCTTTATATAACACGGAGAAGAGGCGAGCAGTTGAACTGTCTTGAGAGACTCGCGATATTTTTTGTAAATCAAGTCGGATTCGCACCGAAGCCAGCTAGACGCTAATTTATGTATTCTGAGACATAGGGTGGAACTCGTCGGAGACGTCAGTTCAATTCGCTCCTGCGGCCATTAGCAGCGGAATGAACTGGTCAACAGAGCCTCCACAGGGAACAACAGGTCGTGCACTAACAGTCTGACCCTGGTAGCTCTCCTTAGTGACCTGGTTTTGCTTGGCATTGATTGATGTTATCATGCGCGTATCTGACCAAGCGGATCTATTAAAACACTACTTGCAGGCCAGAGGAAATTCTAATGCAATAGAGTTGAATCTTTGAACTAAAATTTACAATCGAAGCGAAATGCGGTCGTGCAACCTCGTCTATCCTTCCAACGACCCACGACTCACCTCATCCTGGGCTGCCCATCCCCCTCCGAGTGCGACCGACGGCTTAAATTAAAGACACTGGTGGTAGTAAGGGTTCTGCTTAACACAGGTGTAGCCGCTCTCGCAGGTTGTGGCTCCGGTCCAGTTGATTCCACCGCACTGGTACCAGTGCTTGGCGACACCAGAGGCAGAGCTGCTGGCAGTGGGATCGGAGGCAGGGCATCCGGAAGCGGTGGCAGAAGCAGAAGTCGAAGCAGCCGCGGTCACCAGGGTGGTGGGAACAACGCTGGAGGGCTGAGCAGCCTGAGTGGTTGTAGGAGCGGGGGCAGGAGCCTCGGTGGCAGGCGCAGAGGACGAAGTAGGAGCAGAGGAGGAAGAAGAAGTAGTATCGACGACCTGAACCTGAGTAGCGGCAGTAGTGGTTGGCTTGGTCACAGAGGTAGTGGTGGTGGTAGCTTTCGTGGCAGCAGAGGTAGTAGAGCTGGTGGTTGAGGTAGAGGCAGAGGTGGAAGAGGAGGACGAAGAGCCGGTGCTGCTCACAAAGTACTTCTCGAGAATGGGAAGGTAGGTCGAGTAGGCAGGACCGCTAGTGGGCTCGAGACTGTACATATAAGTTCCCCACCAGGGACCGGCAGACCACCACTCAGCACCGAGCCAGACGTCGCTGTTCTCAGACATGTAAGAGAGAAGGCCCTCAACGGCAGTCTCGCACTGGGAGTTGACACCACCAGCGAACTCTCCAAGGAATCCCTTGAGGCTGTTGTCCTTCAGCCACTGAGTGGCGGACTCCACACGCTCCTGGCCGATAGTGGAGCTGACACAGGACTCAGAGGTACCAGAGCCGTCCGAGTCAAGGTACTGGTGCATCTCAAAGACGATCTTGTCCTGAGGATCCGTCAAACCCTTAAGGTTGTCATTGTTGTCAGTCCAGGTCCAGGCGCCGCTGTAGTGGTTGCCCTCAACGAAGATGTATTGCGTCGTGGCTCCGGCAGCACGGATACCATTGATGGCCGCCTGGTTCAGGTTGAGCACCAGAGTCTGGTCCATATCGTGGTACTCATTATCTGAAAACATCAGCATAGTGACTCCAAGCTACCAATCCCCAAGGGTCTCAGGTGGTCGGGAGTCTTACTGGTATCGAAGATGACCTTGTCGTTGGAGGCAAATTCGCTAGCGACGGTCTTCCAGAATGTCTGGAAGTCAGAAGTAGAGGAGATGATACTTCCAGAGCTGTACGGTGGAATTTAGTTATCACTCCGTTGGTAAAGACCCAGCCATCACTTACTATCTTCCGTAGTTGTGAGGATCAAGAATGGCATAAGCACCACTGTCAGTGATGAATTCGACGGTCTATCGCCGAACATTAGCATCATCCTCACTTCAGGCAAATGTCTCCGTCCTACCTTCTTCAGGTCGCTCAGGTAGGTGGCATCAGGGGTACCGGTCATGGAGCTGGGCACCAGACGCTCCATCAAAAATGGAACACGGAAGATGTTCATACCCGCATCGCGCAGAGTCTGAATCTTGGAGGTATCGGGCCAGGTGTAGTCGGTACCCAGCGTTCCGGGGATGCTGCTACCGAATTCGGCACCAGATTCGTTGACACCAACCCCTGCAGGGATATATAGTGTTAGTCCAATATCTCGGGATCCCATGACAGCATCGTCTCAACATACAGGTAAATCCAGAAGAGCGCTTCTTGGCCATCTCGCGTCTGGGCAGAGCGTTGACCAGACCAGCAGCGCTGGCGGCCATGATCAAGTTGCTGATTCTCATTGCGGTGGTAAAAAAGAATGTGTATCGAGCTTGTCGAAGAGCAGAAAAGTACAAAAAAATACGGGAGAGAAGAAAGAAGGACGAAAATTCAGAGTCAAAGGAGTGACAAGAAACCAGTCTTGAGGTGTATAGAGAAGAAAGAAAGGCCGTTAAAGAATGGCTCCAGCATGATCATCTTTATATAGGCCTCTTCACTTCAGAGTATGCGGTCCAGGGATCCCCGTTCATTCCAAAAGCTCCACAGATTTAATCTCAAGGCAAGCGTTTCTGCCTCTGAGATGTCTCCACGGCGTGGGTCGTGGGTCACCTCGAAATCATATCGCATGGGATTAAGGACTCGTCCAAGCCTCGAGCTCTCCATTAGCTGTGGCCACTGGCCACTAGCCAGGTTTCCTGGACAGCTCATCTTTTGAGACTTCGGAAAGGTCGAAAAGAGTAAAGTTGACATAAGTCACCAAATCTAAGCCATTAGTTCGATGATGCATCATTTAACTTCAGGGGCGCTCTAGGAGCGCTGGAAGAGCACAGTTCTAGAACGACCATTGAGCAATCGTAGTGGCGCTGTCACGGAGGAGATCGATGGAACGGATCATCATTCCGAGACACAATATCAGGTCATCATCTCCGTATTTCCATTCAACCCAGTAGTCCGACTTTCGAAGTGAATAGGGACGAAAAAGCAGGTTCAGCAATGGCCAGAATGCTTAGCTGGCGAATGGCTACACTGTTGCCTGATCCACACATTCGATATTGATTGACTTTGATTAAGGAGACAGCGAGGAACTGTCGCAGAATCAGATAGCATCATCGCCATCAGCTAGATACCCAATGCGATTGCCTGATTTCGTTGTGGTGTGGGCAAACCAAAGGATGAGAGCAGCTCTGCTTTAGATGAAACAGTGCAGCGCTCCAAGCAATGTGTTCGTTGGTGGAGAAACTGTCCTCAATTTATTTCCGGGTCATTGGTAGGATCTGGACGGTTGATGGTTCAGACAACGATAACCAACGGTTGTTTCGGATTCTGCAACCGAAAGCTTGTACGAAGGTTTGTCTAAAACAACATAACTAAGTTTCCGATGTCAAGACTCGAGCTTTGGCAAGCCGGAAATCGATACTTTGAGGGTTTGGACGTTGATTGCGGATGGATAGAAATGATTGAAGTGGAAAGCTCCAAAGGTCGAAGTGAGACCAAAGATGTTAGCGAGACCCACCGCGAGTCAGCCATCAGGAAACTAACGGGTTTTTAGATTGCATGTTTAATGAGCTCTCAAGAATTGAGCATGCACCGGAGTCTGGAGCTGGGAAATAGGGGATTATTCATTAGTTTGTGACTGTCTGATGACGGTACAAGAATATTTGATATTGCGAGATGAGAAACCATGAAGAGCTGGCCATAGTATGCCCTTGGTGAGCGTCTCTGTTTGATTACAACTCTGGCGACGAGCCGCAACAAAACACGAGTTATATATAACAATCAGGCCCGTGAGAATGCCCCTGCTGACAGCATTTGTTACAACTGATATGATTCATTCATTGAAGAGTTAGGATATTTTGGGACCCTGAGCATGAACACGCCATTCCGTTATCGACTGACGTGGAACTCGAATGACCTATCACCTTTGCCAATGGGGATTGCATTTACTTCGTTATCATAGAGCGTACGCTCAAAGTATCTCACTCTTCCATTCGCGCTTACGAGCACCACGGTCTGTTTCTGAGTTCCGTATGCGCCTTGCAAGAATGACTGGTCCAGGGAATCGTTCGGCGGTTGACTTTCGACTGGCATCCTGTCCGTATTGCGAGCTGCAGCAACCTCGTCGGCTGCCCTAGACTTTTCTGCCTGCGCTCCAATCACTGGGACAAAGATACTCTGACGTAGCAGGAGGAGGTAGGTCTCCAGAGTGGAGTCTTCTGATAGCCTGGGGAGAGTATCCCTGCTCAGGACTTGAAGTAGTCGGTTGATGAGTTGATCTTCGTCTTCACCCGCTTGGACATGAGCATTGATGGCCTCTTGCATTAGCTTTTCCCCGTCGAGGATCTTTGGCCAGGAGCGATCATCGAAACTCGTGTTGCTGAGTCCCAATGTCTGACCCTTTTCTGTGGCAACCCAAGAGATCTGGTCCATATTGGCTGACCGGTTCGATACGATGGCTAACGGCTCATTGACATAACCACAAACCAGGCTGAATCCGCCGACATTTCTGACCGCGGACGAGGTAATCATTCCCTGTACGAACTCTCTGGTGGATTGCCTTCGCTCGGGGTCCGCTGTAAGCCAGTTGTTGACGATCAGGCCTCGACTGTGTACTCCACTAGGCTCATCCGATGTAGTCTCACGATAGTTGGTCAGAACGGCTATTTTCCCTTCTTTTGTAACCCCCATCCATGTCCCATGTGTGGCTCGAGCCAGATCTCTGCCTCCAAGCACGTTGCTGTTTGGTTCCGGCCACCAGTCAGCGCATGATGTTGGACGACGGAGGAATTCCTGATTGCCGTTAGTTTATGTTGCCTAATAAGCTGCTCTGAAGGCAATATCGCATACATCCCTGTTGTCGATAACGACCAGAGGATAGGAGGGGTGAGCTGTAGAAATTAATGCGATACACATGTTGTTTGGATGTATCAAAGGGTTCGAAGAAGCAAAAACTAAATATCTGGGAGGAGACTAATATATAAAAAGAAATAGAGCTTGCGTGCGGTCCAAAGAGAGAAGCAGCACCAACTGATGGATGGTATGACGCCGAGGTATGCAGCGCCAAGTGGTCGTTGTTGGGCACACACACAAGAAACAGGAAGGACCGAGACTTTTGAGGGGGTAATCCACTGCTAAGCAATATCTGACCAAGAGCAGTTACAAAAAAAATCCGAAAATTTAGCCACTCGATGTTATGATTGATCGCTATCTCAAAAGCATGAGACAAAGAGACATGAGAGTTGGGCTGGCAACCTGAGGTCATCAGAGTTCAGACCCAACAGAGCAATACTGCCGGAAAAATCTCTACCGCCTTCTGTGTTCACCACCGCTTTGGACCATTCAACTAGCCAATTTGGGCTTAGTCTCTAGTTGGCCTGCAGTCTCAAGACCTTCGAGATCATCAGTCGAACCGCAGGCGAAGTCGTTTCTCTGGCATCAAATATCATGTTGTGATGTCTCAAAGAACCTTGTTAATCTGCAAGATTTGAGCGGGCGACCAGCAACAAACTGAGCACACCAGATGTCGTTGATTTTAAACTCAATAATGGCATTGTGATCCGTGACGTCCCACCCTTTGACCACATCTGGTTCCGCAGTGGGCATTCCAGAGTTCCATAGCTCAGGGTAACCTCGATTTTGGTTGAATTTGTACGGGAAGATTCAAGATGTGTCGACGTTCGCAAATGCTAACCTATTTTCAAGCACAGAAAATATGACTTTTTGACGTGTCAATTGCGGCCAGGATATAGTTGTTGACCAGGGCGAACCGGCACTCCTTTCAAGTGGCCAAAACTCTGATGACTGGTTTATTGAGACTTATGTCTGATTCGGCCAAAGCCGAAATGGAGACCTGGCCGAATAGGTAGCATCTCCGTTGACCAACGCCGATGGTGCAAACGTGCTCTTTGCATGAGCTCCTGGGCCACAATTCTGCTTCCCTTCGAATGCCACAAGCCCACAACTCATAAACAGCTTAGGTTCTGCCGTTGATCGTCGAAAGCTGTCCTTGAAACCCGCACAATCATCGATAACTGGACGGACCTTGGATCCATAACCCAATGATTGCCTGATATCTAGACTACGGAGTAGTGGCACTGTGCTTCGGATACGCCGATGGCCAGGACCGGCATTTATGCCAAGGCCGGTGATCGACAAAACTAGACCGTTTTAAGAGATTGGAACTGGCCAGTCATCTTCCAGATGGTTTGATCGATTGAGACAGAGATTCGACAACTGTGACCCATTCTCAAGATCATAGGCCACATAGTGCTCCATAGAACAACATCCGAATAGACAAACCTATCGAAAAGTCAAGGAACAATCCCTCAGGATGATTATTCGATAGAGTGATCATGATTCTTCCCTTGGCACATACCGATGGCATAGCCTGGGTGCTACAGTGGTACTAGAACAGGGAGACAAGAGCCAGATGAAACAAAAATGACCTGAATACCATGCACAGTGACCTCATCAAAGACCTCATTCAAAGTGTCAAGCATAGCACAAGAATCACTATGAAGAAGATTGTTGCATTGTTCGTCAACTTCGTTGTTCTTGTGCCCCCTTTCCCCACCTTGCTTCGACTATGGGGCCTCGGTTAAAGTCACGTTTTTCCTGTCATACTTTATAAAAGGCAGGATATCCATCCCAGGGAAAATATGGGATTTGAGCGATAAAACCAGAGTCTCTACTCTGTCATCGATTCATCTTCCTATTGCGATGGCGTTCCCGCTTCTGACCGTCGCGGCTGTGGCTGTTGCCCTCCGTCTGCTGTGGGTGCTGGTTTCGAGATGGCAACACGCGCAGAATGCCCGCCGATTGGGATGTGGGCCAACCCCTCTTTATCCTAGTGATCCTCTAGGTATCAGTGTCCTCAAGGAGGCTTTGGCAGCAGACAAAGCGAAAAAGCTTCTACCGATGATTGAGCGCCGAGTCGCGCTCATGAGCGACCGGGAGGGCCGATATGTTACGACCTTCCGCTTTAGGCAAACGGGCCGTGAGATTTATTTCACAACGGATCCGAAAAACGTCCAAGCCATTCTGGCCACGCAATTCAAGGACTTTGAGCTGGGGGCTCCTCGAAGGCAAGCTGTGCACTCCCTTCTGGGAACTGGCATTGTAGGTTTTGCTTTGTGTCAAATATGCAGGGTTTGTGCGGCATGCTAACAACTTCGTTGTAGTTTAGTTCTGATGGCGAGGAGTGGTCTCGCTCCAGAGCTCTTCTCCGTCCTCAGTTCACGCGCGATCAAATCAGCGATCTCGACCTGGAAGAACGTCATGTGCAAAAGGCGATGCAGGCGATGCCTGTCGTCAACGGGAAGTGGACCGACGCAGTGGATATCCAATCCATCTTCTTCCGTCTCACTATTGACTCCGCGACCGAATTTCTCTTTGGCGAGAGTGTTGAGAGCCAGCTATCGGCCCTGAACGGTGGTCAGACTCCCGAGGACAAATTCCCCTACTATTTTGACAAGTCGCAATGGTACTCGGCACAGCGGGCTCGCTTCGAGAAACTGTACTGGGTCGTAAACAACAAGGAGTCGCGCCATGCGGAGAAGGAAGTGCACGCGTACGTGGACCGCTTCGTGCACAAAGCGCTCAAAGCTGCCCGCGAAGGCAAGCTCCAAGCGGACCCGGAGAAATCTTCTCAGTACGTCTTCCTGAACGCTCTGGTTTCTGTCACTCAGGACCCGATCGAACTGCGCTCGCAACTGTTGAACATCCTCCTCGCGGGGCGTGATACAACCGCGTCCTTGCTCAGCTGGACAGTGCTGCTGCTCGCACGCCACCCGGCCGAGTTTCAGAAGCTCCGACAGACCATCGTCGACGAATTCGGGACTTACGACCAGCCCCGCAGCATCACATTTGGCGCCCTCAAGTCCTGCCAATACCTGCAATACTGCATGAATGAGTCCCTGCGCCTGTTCCCCGTGGTCCCTGGCAACCGCCGCATCGCGACGAGGGATACCACCCTGCCCCGCGGCGGAGGCAGCGACGGCACACAGCCCATCTACGTGCGTAAGGGCCAGCTTGTCGCGTACAACGTGCACATTCTGCACCGGCGCAAAGACATCTGGGGTCCTGATGCCGAGGAGTTCAAGCCGAGCCGGTGGGCCGATCGCAAGGTGGGCTGGGATTATGTCCCGTTCAATGGCGGGCCGCGCATCTGCATCGGGCAGCAGTTCGCCCTCACTGAGGCGGGATACGTCCTGGTCCGGTTGCTGCAGCGGTTCGACGCGATCGAAGACATGCAGCCGCATCTGGAGATCCGACATTCTTTGAATCTGACCAGTGCGCCGGCGGATAATGTTACTGTCCGGCTGCGTGAGGCGGCATAAGACTATAGCTTCGGTGAAGGATTTTTGTCTGTGTTAGTGGTTTCGTTCGCAGTGTATTCGAGTATATATGTGATCAATGATACCAGTTCTGCACATGATAAGCGTGTCACATCTCAGCGGTAGCCAACCGATTCGTTTCAATTCAACAACGTTAGCCCATGCAAGCTACTACAAGCACTGTTAACCAGATGTACCAAAGCAATGGACCGCAACCCGATATTCAGCATTTATAATTTATACTGATCTCACTTTCCAATCGCTATCGACAGGGTATATCACCTCCTCGTAATCCACTAACAGCAACACTCACAACACTCGAAACAGGCAATACCGGCACACCTTCATTCTCATTAGCGCCGCCCGCACCCATCAGATCGTACAGGAAAAAACCTACACTCCACAGCAAACATCCTCCTTCTCACCGCCACCACGCAGTCTCATGTCCATCTGTTCCTGTGCGGGCTGGACAACAGCACAAGTGTCAGTTGATCCTGTTACGTCAAATACAGGACAGGGGGTGGTTGAATGGGGGTGTACCGGCTGCTGGGACACGACCTGAGTTGGTGCTGCGGGGGTAGACGGTTGGGTCATGGTTAGGGTGTTGGGGTCCCAGGTAGATTGCTGGCGCTGTTCCTCCTTGGATTTGAAGAGATTGAGGTTGAACATATTGAGCTGGTTGTATGTATGTGCTTCAAGCGATATGGCTTGGGGTACTGGCGAGGGAAGAAGTGAGCTGAGGGAGACACTTTCCCCTTGAGACGGGACGGGACGGGACAATGAGGTTTTATTGCCTGAAGGAGTCGCTAGCTTCACGGACTAGGTGGTCTTGTTTCAGTTCTGATGTAGCGCCAGATCCGACCCTCCAACTAGGTGTGATTCTGATTGAGTCAGTCTGCTCTGTAGAGAGAATCGTGCTGCCTGGTGACTCGGCACATGATCCGGTTCTGCTTCGTTGATGGCCCGTCTCCAGTTGGCATGGCGCCGGGGGCTGAATTGGCGTTTATCCATTGGATCCATTGTCAGATTCGGGCTTGTTCTCCAGCTGAGTGTGCTGTCGTTGCATTAATCCCTCATATTTTGACTGATCTGTCTTGTGATTCCAATCTAGGGGAGACCGCTAGTATCTGCCTGAGCGCCCATCGGGTCTCTGTCAGGCTGGTGTCTCCATAATGCCCAGCTTCTAGGGCGAAACAAGCCTCCTTGGCACGGCTTATCTTTGATCTCCTCTTGGCTTGATCGTGCTCCGCGTTTTTGCTTCATCATACTATCACACTAATGTATTGAACAGTATATACTGTATTGAGACCTGTGACCTATGTCTATGTCTATATCTTCCTCTTGACTAACCCTCGGAAAAAATCAAAACTGTTGCTGTCACTCTGCAACTGCCACACTCGTCCCGTAGGCCGATCGTCCCATCCCAACTCCTCCGCCAGCAACAACCCATAATCCCGAGTGATACCCTTGATCCGGGCTCGCGCTCCGCCTTCTTCCTCTAATGTGACAACCTGATGCATGTGCAGCCAGTCGTCGTAGTACATCGTCTCAAACTCCCGGTCAAAGCCTGTCCGCAGGAAGCGGGTGTACAGCTCCTCGAACGTGGTGAGGCACCGTGCGAGGAGTTTCTCGAGTGTGATCGGGGCGGCCTTATTGGATACAAAGCGAGAGGCGAGTGCATTGAGCGAGGTGGTCGGGGAGGCGTTCGTGGCGTTGATGCCGATTCCCACTACGGCGATGTATTCGTTCGAGGAGAAGAGCGAGTTGATGAGGATTCCGCAGACCTTGGTGTAGTGCTTCTTGTCCGGGTTTTCGGGGTCCAAGGCATCTGTGACTCATTAGCTTGTTCCTTTTCCAGTGAGAGCATCGAAACCTACAAACGTCATTGGGCCATTTGAGCTTGACTGGCATGTTCTCAAAGCCCACGTCGTAGCTCTTGATGCCCCGTACGACCGCCATTGCCGACAGATACTGAATGAAAACCACTGGAGCAGACTGAATCTTTTTAATCGGATGCCTTACGACCGTCGAAAAAATCAGGGAACCTGCCGGAGAAACCCAGACATTGGAGCCTCGGCCTCGGCCTGCGACCTGGGTGGTTGCGGTCGCTGTGAACCCATGCGGCAGTTTGCGGAGTAATTTGGGATTCCTGCGCATCGGTCAGCTCTGAAGATAAAAGTTCAGCTTTAAGACTTACTTTTCCAGAATCGTATTTGTACTACTGACCACCTCACCATACAGGATGCTCGAACCGAAATCGCCTGCACCTTCCCGCATCTGAGACTGGTACTGTTCGAGATTGGCGTAGAATGCATGGTGATTGAAGTAAGGAGTCGCTTTTGAGGATGGAAGGTCGTCGTGAATCACTAAAGGTTTGATGATTGCGTTGTAATCAACAATACCGTCGCTAGCACCCAATTGCTCTCTTGTCTCTTCGGACTGGGAAAGAGACTTTTCCAATGAACTCATGCTCCAAGTCCCAGACCTCTCCAGACGGAACGTATCGTTTTCATCTTTGATGAATTCTTCGTCCCCCTCGGTGCTAATCACCTCTTGCAACGACGATCGGATGCGGGAAGTATCAGCCGGATTTTGAGATGACAGGTGCAACGAAGAAAGTGACGGCACGGTCGTGGTGTTCTGAGTGACCTGAAGGCCCAGCTTGGACAAACATGCCTTCAAAAAGTCTGTGCGAGCTTTATCGTCCGCTGCCAGTGCATCCACCACCTTGGCATATTCCTGGCCCCCGGCTTTCTTGTCCAGGTTTGCCGCTGCGAATCTGTTCGATTAGGTGTCAGACACTTGCACCCTGAAAAACTCCTCTGAATAAACGTACTCTGGATGCGGTCCTGTCAGAATGGCAGCTCCCTCGCCCACCTTACAGTAGACGACGGCAGCCGCACCTGTGCCTGGATCAACATTCAATTCCTCCGTGTAGCTGGCCAAAACCTCCACGCCCTTGTCCGCATACAAGGACGCATCGACAAAGACACCACCCCCGTTGTAATAGCACTTAAACCCATCCGGTACCACACCGGCATTCAGTACATCCTTGGAGACCTTCAGATCGGCCGCGCGCGCCCCCGCCTCGCTGTGGTACACAAACCCCGGAAACGCACCGCCGCGGCATATCCCAGGGAAAAAAGCCAGTTCACGATCCCCGACGACCTCCATCGTCTTATCACCGACCTCGAACTCGCATCGCTGGCAGCCGTAGTATCCCCCCGCGCAGAAACCGAGGTATGCGCCCCCGCGCTTGACAAACTGCTCGATTCGGCGGTTGCCCGTGCCATTGAGGGATCGACAGTACCCCAGATCTGCTCCTCCGGGTATCACCAGCAAGGCGCAAGTCAGCGTCCACGGCTCCTTGATGAGCATGTCGGCGGTCACAGGGATCACGGCATAGTGCGGGGCGAGCAGGCGGCGGAGGGTGTAGAGGCAGTGTCGGACGGATTCGACGGTGGTACCATTGCCTGGAGACGGGGGGGAATTGGTTAGACAATTTGATCTCCATGCGGATGGGGTGAGCGAACCCGAGTAAACTAGCACGTTGAGCTTCTTGCCAGTGAGGTTGGGTGTGGTTGCGGTCATTGTCGCTGTCGCTGTCGCGAATGCGGCGAGTCGGTCTCCGGACGGAGGCAAGATCAATTCTTTCTTCGACACAACTCACAGGCTTATACAGCTCACGTCTAGAGCAAATTGAACAAGATGTCGAAGAAGGAAGATAAGCCCGCGGTGGTCCCGGAAGTGGACGACGACGAACCTGATGAATGGTAGGATTATTTCTTTTGACTTTTGATTCTCGGAGATTGAGGATCTGGACTAATGCGGAGTCATCGGTGGTCAGGGACAAGCGGATCTTCAGCACCGGTTGCGCAGGTGAGTTTTACAACAAAGATAATGGCTTGATAGACGAGCTGCTAACCAAGTATCAACAGTGGAGCAGGATAGAATGAACGAGTGCTATTTTGCGAAGAAGGACTGGAGACAGTGCAAAGACGAGGTGAGTCACGCTGGAGACTGCTTGCAGCCGAATCGCAAGCACCGCATCACGTCCATTCTGAGCTTTGGGTTCCGCCTCATCGTCCACAAGGAAGCTGAGGAACTGAAGCTGATCGAGCGTGTTATGGCAGATGGAGGCATTTCGCGAGTGCTGGAAGCGCAAGGGCAATGACCAGCGGACTCAAACAAAGGACGCTTAGACTCAGGAGAACAAGTCAACCCTGATATTTAACCTGTACTACTAGTATATGGCACTACTGTAATTATATACGAAACATCACCACTTCAAGCTAGATTTCTGCGAATTCAGACTGACCAGACGTAAATCACGTGACATTATACAGACGCGTCGTCAAGCTTCATCTCCGCATGAGAGGTTCTAACAACGTGTCATCCTCCAACCACACCATCACCATGGCTTCATCGCATATCCGCCGCTCTCTGCAGCTGGTAGAGTCTACAAAGTTTGCCAAAGTTACATCCAGATTAACTTCCCGACCCCCCACCCAGCACATCCTCGCCCGCACCAGATCAATCACCACCACCTCCCCTCACAGATCCCTCACCACCAACAACAACCAAGCAGCCCGGACAGCTCCCAAACCTCCCGTCCCGTCTACACCAACCGCACCAGCAAAACCATCCCCCCCCTCGCCCACCGCTGCAACCACAACCGACGACCGCACCCGCCGCATCCTCGCCCCGACACCCACCCACCAAACCACCTCCAACATCTCCAAAACCGGCCTTTCGGACGCCCCCCTCTCACCGGACTCCCCTCCCGAAGAAAAAATCGACTGGACGCGCTCCTTCCACGGGCTCTCCGCCGCGCCGTTCCCCAAGGAAGTAGCCGACATCCTGCTGGCGGAGGTCGACCCGGAGGAAGTCGAGATCAAGCCCGATGGCATCCTGTACCTCCCCGAGATCAAGTACCGACGGATTCTGAACCGGGCGTTCGGGCCAGGCGGGTGGGGGCTCGTGCCCCGGAGCGAGAGTATCGTTACGCCACGCACCGTGACGAGGGAGTACGCGCTGGTTTGTAATGGGCGGTATGTACTTCCCTTTCCCTTTCCCTTTGGGAGATAGCGTAGGGTGACGAGGCTAATGGCTGCGCTGCAGGCTAGTCTCTGTCGCGCGGGGCGAGCAGGATTACTTCACGCCTGATGGGATCCCGACGGCGACGGAGGGGTGTCGGTCGAATGCGCTTGTGCGCTGCTGCAAGGATCTGGGGATTGCGAGCGAGTTGTGGGATCCGCGGTGGATTCGCAAGTTCAAGGCGCAGTATACGCGGGAGGCGTTTGTGGAGCATGTTGTTAACAAGAAGCGGACGAAAATCTGGGTGCGCAAGGATGATCCGGTGTCGTATCCGTGGAAGGAGACTAAGTAATCTGTTCTGTCTTGTACGGACATGTTCTGGGATCTTGTGATGTGATGGTGTTTGATACCCGTCAGGTGTATATTAATCATGTTGAATAGAAATCTCGCTCACATTTCGAATTATCTAGTTAAGTGGCTTGTTGGGACATAGAATAGAGCAATGACTTTTCACCGCCCACTATATGCATCAGATCATCACCCATAGATTCCCTAGAAATACAAAAAAATGAATCAAAACACCACCAACGCCATCCTGTTTCAGCGACCTAAATCTATTGACCCCCATACGGTGGACGAGACTGATTCCAATTTCTAGCATGGTCATCCGGGTAGCGCTGCTGCGCCCCCGACGGACCCGGGAACCTTCTGAACGAATCCGAGTCGGATTGCTCTATCGCCGACGGGAGCTCGAGCGGCTGCTCTGGATCGTAAGCCGTCTCCTGGCTCTGAGATCCGTAGAAACTACCTCCGTAGTTTGACAGGCTGGAATACGTGGGATACTCAGAGTGTCCCATCCCCTGTGAAGTAGAGACCGCCGGCGGCTGCTGGCGAGGAAGAGGGGGCACGGGCTCCGCGATGATGGGGACTCCGCCTGCCGCGGGGGCAGTCTGGGTGGGGTGCTGCTCGTTGGGGCTGGTGCCTGCCTTGCGGCGGCCGGTGGATGGTTCACGGGCGAGATTGCCGTAGTTGACGCTGAGTTGGCGGTTCTGATCCGGCGAGGCGGCGGGGGTCTGGTAGGTGTCTCCTTCGTTCGGGGTGCGACTGTTAGAGCGTTCCGGGTAGACCGAGTCGGTAGACGAAGAGCCGCCGCGGCGTTGTAACGTGCCGGATGACTGACTGGCGTTGAAACCGGTTGATCGAGCCTGTTCCTGGGCGGCGGCATCCATGGCCATTCCGGCCGCTGCTGCGCGCCGCTGGCCGGATGCGGTTCGCGTGATATTGTTCTGCTCTGCGTTCTCGGCGTCGGGCTTATCGTCCTTGTTCTCGCTATCGTCTGCGGCGTCCTCCGCGGCAGCACCAGGGGCGCGGATGGGAATCTTGCGCACCGCGGTAACCAAGGCACACATGAATTTCGAGCGACGCATGGCGCGGATCGACTCGTTAGACCAGTTGGATTTGTGGCGGATGCTGACGGTCAGCTCAAGCTTGTCCATGTCGCCGACACCAACCACATCAAGGTCGATATCCGGCTGGAAATCACGGTAATTCTCCTTGTCGCGGACAAATCTCTCCATCTCATCGCGGAGGACTTGGATGTCGGCAAAGGTAGTGTCGAAGCTGACGGGAATCTTGAGTGTTTCGTGCATAGCGTTGGAACGCGTGAAGTTGTCCACCCAGAGAGTGTTGAGGACAACGTTGGGCACCTGAGTAACGCGCTGATCGGTCACCGATTTGAAGACGGTATACAGAAGCGAAATGCGCTCGACGATGTAGGGCTTGTCGCTAATCTCGACCCGGTCGCCAATGTCAAAGGGGTGCTTGACGAACAGGAAGATGCACGAGCCCAGTACTTCCTGGGCGGTGGTCGAGAAAACGAAACTGAGAGACAGGAGGGATGTGGCGCCGGCCGCGATGACGGTGCCGAAACCGCTTGTCACAAACGAAATGAAGACTAGCACCGCGATGATACCGGCGACGGTCAGCAGCAAGTTGTCCAGCACATGAATGGCCTGGTCGACATCGTACATGCTGTTGTTCAGGGCCTTTCGGTTGCGTCCGATTTCCCCGATAACCAGAACCATCTCGTCCAGACTGATATCACCGTTGCCGTCTCGGTCGAGCATATGAAAACATTCCTCGGCGATGATCTCTTTGCCGGCTCCCAAGACCTCGATGATGTCGTCGGGGTATAGGGCATCCCTGCCCTCAACGACAAAAGACATCCAGATTCTCCGTGCCAGAGCTTCGGCGGCCTTCCGGCGCTCCAGTGCCTGAGTTACAATACCACGCACCGAAGTGGGATTGAACACTTCTTTGCCGGTGATTTCGTGGGCGACACCTCCAAAGGCTGCAGTAACTCTGTCTCCAAATCGGCCAACGTTATGACCGACATTCCGAATCAGCTTGAGAGGGATCGAGGAGCTGGAGCGCGCATGGATGGGTCCTTTCGCGGTTGCTGCACCCAAGAGCGAATCGGAAATAATCATATCGTCCTCGCGAAACTCCTTGCAGTACATGGGGAACATGTTGCGGGACGCGTCGTAGAGCTGACCGATGAGTTCAATGTTCCGCTTTGACTCCTTGATCTTCGAGTCTAATTGCTTTCGGTGGTAGCTGATGGAGATGAGCTGGACCAGGAATTTCTCCGACAGCAGAATCAAGCTACAGACAAACAAGGCGAACAGGATATTCTTGACGGATTTCTCCCAGGCCTTCGTGGAAGTATCGCCTGTCCGCTTCTTCTCGGGGTTATATGTCATGATTGGAAGGAAAGTCACCAACGAGACAATGGTCCAGAAGACCGTCGCAATGGGAAGTTCCAGTGCGCGAAGGATGAGAGCATACTTGCGAGTCCCCGGGCTGACGATTCCACAGAGGAACTGAAACAGATACGGAAGAAAATGGGCGACAATCTTGCAAATCCACAAACTCAACCAGACAACCTCAATCCAGGCAAAGAACCAAGGCAGCGTCACGCCGCCAATTCTCGCATCCTGCGCGGCCGTGGCTCCCACAATGATAGGAATGGCAATCAAGAGCGCGAGCGGCGTGACATAAATGATGTACCTGGTAACGATGGAGAAGTTGAGGATGGCCTGGTAAATTCTCCCCATCCGCGTGAGGGTGCCATCCTCAGGGTCCTCGAGGGAACGGCCCGTCGCGTCGTCAACGGTTCTCTTGCGACGCCCAGGGCCAGTACCGGCGACCAACCCAGCCTTCTCGCTGGTGTTGGTGTGAACATCCTCAATGGGAGGGTGATAGGCCGCCGGAGAAGTGGCCGTCTGCGCACTCCCCCTCCGTGCCCCCGTCGGACTGCGACTGGGGACATTGGTCAGGGGAATATCGATCGTAACATCGTGTGGACTGGCCATTATAGTATCATTTGAGTAATCCGGAAGCGGTTGAAAGCGATGGGCCGACAAACGCTTCTCCGTGAGTCCAGGTCGACCCGACATCGAAACGAGCGAGAAACAGAGAAAACGGGTCCAATGACCACGACTCCTCTGACTTTATACTTTTGACTGTTTGACACTAACTCGAGGAAAAGGGCCAGAAGCTGACCTGCAGCCCTGACGAAGGAAATTGAGTGGGGCGGAGGCAAGCGAAACCAGTGACGGGGGTTTTGCGACAAGCCAAGTGAGCTAATAGCACCTGAGATCGACTCGTCGATCCAAAGAAAAGCGATCTGATTTGGCGCGAGCCGGTCGAATTGCGTCCAAGGATTGACCAAATAATACGTAGCCTCGTAGGCAAGCAAAAGGACCAGAGGCGAAGACTGTGTGCGGAGACAGTGGAGTGGTGGGTCGAACCAAGCGAAGCAAGAAAGACAAGATGAAGAAGAGAGTGTGAGATGGAGCAATTGGAAAGACAGATTGGAGTTAGAGGCCAGATGGAGAACGAGAGTCAGTATGATCTAATGCGATGAAGATCGGATTGGAGAAGTAGACACGAAGCAGACGGGAGAAATCTGATGGAGAAAAGGATGAAGAAAAAAAGGGCCTGATGCAGTCACCATAGAATGGATGAATCTAATAATAATAATGTACGGAGTAAATAAGGCATCAACCATGGACACCAGCTGAAAAACGGCAGCATAGTGTAAATTCTATTGGGGCAATGTTTCACCATTCCAGGAACAGAACGCCACCGATCACTGACTATACGGAGTACGCACTATCTTCATATTTTCATATTTTCATCTGTTGATTTGATGGTTAGACGGTCGACGCGTTTCTAGGAGGCCAGCATTCTTGCCCGTTGTCACATTCCCACCACCATGAATGTGGTTTCTTAGCAATGACACTCCAGGTACAGACAGACCCGTAGGAGGAGGAAGATCCACAGTTGCAGGCTTGCAGCCCTATCTACGGGTCAGATGGGCTAAAACATCAGGAGAAATAATCAAACAATCAGATTTACAAGAAAAAACAGCAGCAAGTGGCTATTGGTCGCTAGAATAATAGTGCCACCCACGATCCCGACTTTTATTGAGGGGGCCAATTTTTCCTAAATAGGTATCGGGATCTCAAACGGACAAGACCGACAAGCCACCGTTTCATCCTCGTCTTTAGCTGATTCCTGGAGAAAATCTACTCAGTCTAGACTGGACACACAGACATTCTTCGGGTCCGAATTTGAGTATGGACTATGGACTATTAAAGATTCGAAGATGACTCTGTAACTGTCAAACTGTCAGCGTGTCAGTGAAGCCTTGGTGTACAAATCCTCCTTGCTGCTACAGTCTATCTGTATATAGAAGACCGCATTCATTCTGATGATGTATACAGAGCAATAGCATCAACTACAGATTGCGTCATTATTTGCTCCTCAACATATAGCTTCTGTGGACAATCGGCAGACATACGTATCCATGCGGATCACATATTCTGCCTACACAGATCCAAGTATTCGGTCAAGATCATCCAGGTTTCGTCATGTTTTCCCCGCAACCACGGATCCCATCCTGCGGGTCCCCTATCTCAGCCTGGAAGCCTTGAAAGTTTGTAACCAAATGACTTGAGCTTCATGACGGTCTTGTCGATACTGTGGCAACCTTTGCGCTCTTGATATGGTGCTTGCTCATCGGAGCTTATATGATGATCGTTACTTCGAACTCAAGCCATATGCCAAATCGGTTATTAACATCCTCCCGAATTCGACTGGCAAACTCCAGAATATCAAAGCCCTTGACGCTGCCGTAGTTTGCTACGACGAGAGCATGCTGGTCATACACTCCCACGCGGCCGATCCTTCTGCCCTTCCAACCGCATCTCTCAATCAGCCAAGCTGCTGGGATCACTTTCGAGCCATCTGCCCTCGAAAAGACAGGGATCGTTGGGTGAACAGCCTGCAGGGCATCATATGTAAGTCGGTCGACGACTGCGTTCTTGAAGAAACTGCCCGCATTTCCGAGCAACTTGGGATCAGGCAACTTGCTCCTGCGTAGCTGACATACAGCTTCTGCGACTGATTGGATCGTGGGGGCTTGCACTCCTCGGTTTTCCAGAATTTGTTGAATCGAGCCATATGTCGTATTCAATCGATGATTGCCAGGTTTGCTGAGCCTGACTGTAACACTGGCAATGAAGACATCTTTTGAAGTATGTTTAAACACACTGTCCCTATAACCGAACTGACACTCGGCATTGGACATCTGTCGTCTGGACCCGGTAGCCAAATCGATTGCGCACAGACTTTCGAGCACATCGCTGAGTTCCACACCGTACGCACCGATATTCTGTATCGGTGCTGCGCCCACCGTGACTGGGATGAGGGACAGATTTTCAAGTCCCCCGAGCCTATGGTCGAGGCAGTATGAGACCAGTGCTGTCCAAGCGACCCCACCACCCACCCGAAGTGCTGTGTGCTTCTCGTCTTGAGAGATGATTTCTATCCCGCTGATTTCGTTTTTTAGCACGATACCCTTGTAGGTATCATTGGCGAATAGAATATTATTGCCACCGCCGAGAACAAAATGGGGTCGAGTCTGAAAAATGGGCGAATGCACCAATGCCTCTAACTGATCCGGATGCTGCACACGGACAAAGTATCGAGCGGTCGATGCAATATGAAACGTGTTGTAGGGGAGCAGGTCAACATATTCCTCCATCTGTGGCCTTGTGCAGAACTGGCCTGGGTGATTCTCGGTAGGCAAGAACATGTCGAAACAAACAGGTCATCAAAAGGGATGAGTAGACGGTTGATCTCTCCAGACCGCTTGAACCACTTCAGCTCGGAATTGAAGGCGATAGCCCATTGCTATTGGACCTAGCCATGCGATGGCTCTGCATTGCAGTCTGCAGGACCTCACCGCCTGGTTGGATTTAGAAGGTGAATTCAGTGACACAAAAAGGTCCTCTGCAAAAATTCAGGAATGGCGCATAATCTCATGAGCATTGAAGGCGGCCGTGACGTTGTTGGCGATGTTTTCATCTCTGGTTCCAAGAATGCGGGACTGCCAATCATGGCAGCGTCAATCCTCGCCTTGGGAGAAAGCACACTTGCGAGAGCGCCCGTCCTGACCGACATCGAGAATTTTGCTAGCATCCTCCGGTATCTCGGCGGAACAGTCATCTGGAGGTCAAACTCCCTACGGATTGATACGATTCATATGGAAAATCGGGAGTTACCCGCCAGTTTGACACGGACACTCCGGGCCTCAATCCTCTCTCTGGGGCCCCTTTTGGCCCATTTTGGGCATGCAAAGATTTCACTCCCAGGCGGTTGCACGATCGGCAAACGTCCAATCGACGAACATATTAGGGGCCTTGAAAAACTCGGCGCATGCATCACACTCACAGAGAGGGCGATTGAGGCACGAGTTCCTTGTACCGGACTGCAGGGCACAGTTCTTCAGCTAGGTACACCCACCGTCACTGGGACCATGAACCTGATGCTGGCAGCATGTCGGGCCAGAGGCGTCACCCACATCCGCAACGCCGCGCGAGAACCCGAAGTGGTGGATCTGTGCCACTGCCTCATCAGCATGGGAATGGTCATCCACGGCGTGGGGACAGACCATCTGGAAATTTATGGAACGGACATCCCACTCCGTCCGTACAACTACCAAGTGATGAATGACCGTATTGAAGGTGGGACATTTCTCATTCTTGGAGTCATGGCTGGCAACGCACTTCGGATCCACGGGTGCCGCGAAGAGCACCAGACCGTCCTGATTGAGAACCTTCGCACAGTCGGGGCGCATATCACCGTCGAGACACCAGACATCATCATGGTAATCAAAGCTCTCAATCCCAAAGCCATCGATTTCACAACGGGACCGTACCCGGCTCTTTCTACAGATCTTCAACCGCAGCTCATGACGCTATTGTCCATATCTCAGGGCATCAGCCGAATACACGAAACGGTCTTTGAGCGGCGATTCAACCATGTAGCGAGTCTACTGGCCATGGGTGCAAAGGTACAGGTTGTAGGACAGAGTGCCGTAATCCATGGCGTTAAAAGACTCGTTGCCAGTACCGTGGCAGCGACAGACCTCCGGGGAGGAGCTTCTCTGGTGATTGCCGCGATATCTGCGGAGGGTGTCACAATCATTCAAGGATTGGAGCATATAGATCGGGGGTATGAACGGTTGAAGGACAAGTTGAGTAGAATAGGAGTAGTTTTCAGAAGAGTTGATGAGGAAAGCAGTCAGGCCTGTCTTTGATCTTTTGCAGTAGCTGTCACATAATGAGACCGAAAGCCTTAACAAGCACCCTTCTCTGTCAGTTCGATGATGCAGTCCTTTCGTTTTTACTGCTTGAACGTCTGGAAGATTTGAAGGACGTGCTACAGCCGTAAGCTCAATAGCCCGAACTAGATCCACAGGGTGTTACAACAACTGTCTATTCTGGTCGTCGTGGTCGGCACGCAAGATTACCCACTCTGGGTCAACATCCACGAAGGCATCAAGGTGTTGCTTTAGCTTTGTAAAGCTTTCAATGCAGTTTCAGATCTCCTCTGCGCACGAACCCAACTCTCAAATACAGATAGGCTGCTTATCCCCCGGCCTCGCCTTATACGAGATCCTCCCTGCCGGCAGGAAAAACAAAGCCACAAGCCTCCCCCCTCTAACCTCTGGATAATGATGCGTCCCCGGACCCGGCGACGTCCACCCGGCCCCCTGCCACCCAGACATACCCTTCAACTCGGCCGTCTCGTCAATCTGCACAACGCAATTGATCTCTCCATAGGGATGGAGATGATACTGCCCCTTGAACTCCTCCTGGCTCTCCATGTACACGGTCGTGATGCTGAAATACCGAGTTTCGGCGCTGGGGTCGGCGACGCGGCTGCGTCGGTAGTGCGGGCCGGAGACTTCGTCCGTGGCAACCCAGCCCTCGTTGTTGAGCAGGGCGTTGCGGACGAGGGTGCTGAAGTCCTCGTAGTAGGGTGTGCCGGGGCCGTGGGTAGCGTTGAGTTGGAGTTCGAGCTCGCGGCCGGGCGTGCTGGTGGCATTTTAGTTTCTACCTGGTGGGCATTTACGTTAAGTAGATTTGGGGAGGGATACAGATCCTCGACCTCGGCGAAGAATTCTCGCGCACGGTCAATGAGCTTTTGTTGATTGGGGTGTACGGTTCTGGTCATTTTGATTTGACTGGAGTTGTGATGATCGAAGACGTGAAATGGCGAGTGTAATGGCAACTGTTGAATAGATATATAATGCGGGGTGCAAATCCGGGGTCATTTGCCGGTCTGACTGAGCCCTAACAGCCTCGGTATCAAACAAGTAATAACTATTTATATATGTACATGCAGGGTATGTAGGCAAATAGCAAGGAGAAAATACATATATAACAGTCTGGTGAACCCCTAGGGACTCATGTCAGAAATGTCAACGACCTAGGGAGCTAAATACATACCGCCGCGATCATGCCATAGCATAGCATTGACTTATTGTCCGACTGCCTAGATTCTCCAGTGCATTAAGATTATTGGCAAACGTGATCTTTGAAATGAAGTTAGTAACTACGGAGTACTCCCTCAACTCTTTTCTCAATGGACATACATATGCTTGCCCGTAGTACCCGCTCAGTCTACCTCGATAGTATGCACTGGCCTCGCTGAGAGCAATCTGGATCTTCTGGCAGTCGACAGCTTGACGCTTCGCGAAATCGGAATGAATCACCGCGCCGGTTGCAAGGGTAGAAAGAAGGGTAATAGAGGCGAGATTAGAGATTTGCATGTTGACGACTTTGAGTTCTGATTCTGATTCTGACAACTTGAATTCGGGGCAGATGCACGCGACTATTTATGCTTTCCAAAATGCATACTATATCTCAGATTAGCCATTCAAGTTCATAATAGAGTAGGTTTATAGCGAGGCCCGACCCTGCTTTCCGTCCCGTTGTTCCCGCTGTGGCAGCGCTTAAGCTTAGAATGTAATTGAGCCGATTGGTCTCATGCCCTATTCTGGCCGAGCATGTTCCTCCGAGATAGCGAATCTCCAAAAAATACTCCGTTAGTACAAGGCCAGACCCTGCTTGGATTCTGCCTCGACAAGTTGACAGCGCTTAACTCCCAACATGTCACGAAGCCGATTGGCCCTCCGGTCAGGGCCCGAGGATAGTCTGTATATCACAAACATGAGTTCATCAAAAGTTGCGAACATGCATGAGTAGTTTCATTGCCAAGCTACAGAGTCACAATCTTGTTGTATTCCAGGCGCGCGGGAGCCCGTCCAATGTGGTGCTGGTATAAACCGCGCCGACGTTGGACCCTGGTCTGTAGTATTGAGCTGCGGAGAGTCATACACTTGGAATTCATCACGCTGTCATAACTCTCGTTGACTGGAGAGAGAACTGGATTTCGTCACTTGATTCAATGTTCAATGCTATATATATATCATCTTCAACAATTAGCTCAACTTCGCCTCAGGGATCGTCACAGACACAACTAAGAGTTTAAACCGACAGTATGAGGCCGAACCCACTGACTCTAGGCGTGTCTGCCTCGAGACTGAAAGAGAACCCAAGCTCGACTGAAACAGCGTCGCTAGAAAAGACCTTGAAGGAAAGATATGACTGAAGTTGAAGACTATGTAAGTGTCTTGTCAGTGGTCCAAAAGGAGCATCAGCTAAAAGCACAGCAGATAGGTGTAGTGACGGCCGTGTGAGTTTTCAAGGAGTTGAAAACAATGGAGATGCGAGAGTTAAGGCAGGATCAAGAACAACTATGAACAAAACTGAGGGGAGACAGAGCTAAGGGAGCACAGTAAGATTCTCCTCTGTCCTTTTTTTTTTTTTTTTTTTTCTCGCGTTAATGAGAGCGAGATGTGAATACTCGCGTGTTAGGAAAACAGTGATAAAAAGACGCGAGTAAACTACTTTCACTTGTCATAACTTCCAACACTTCCTATGATACCTTCTCTAGACACTCTATCTCCTTCTCAACTGAATGACTACATCTATCAGCGAGATCATAAGTTGCAGAAATCAGGAAAATGACAGACCCAACTTCTTCTATCTTCTTCCGGCTCCCTCCAGAACTACGCCTTGAAATCTACCGGCATGCGTTCTCCATCTATCCCAACGCGAGAACTAGGGTGGGTAAATTCAAGCTCAATGAACATGATGAAAGTGCTCTTTCCAAAGGCTATGAGGTGTACATTCATCCCACAAAAGCCCATGCCTCCATGTACAGAGGAGCTCCGGACGAATATCGTTCCCAAGAGGACCAGGATCGCCTCCACGAGTATCGCTACACACCACAAGAATTCCTGGCCATTCTCAGCGTCAGCAAGACAGTGTACAGTGAAGCGATGCCCCTGTTCTACTCGGAGACATTCTTCTGCTTCTTGAACAAGAACGGACCTTCGAACTTGGTCAGAAGCTTTTTATTCAATATTGGCTCTCATCGAGTGAAGTACATCCGTCGGCTGTCCTGCGAGCTCATACCGCTTAACTTTCCTTGTACAAGCGAGGACAGACCTAGTTTGAAGTGGGTGGCGGTTTTTCTTTCGTGGATGGAGCATATCGATATTCTGGAGATGACTGTGTTCGTTAGCGAGGAGAGACTTCACTTTGGTGAAAGGTACCGAAACCTTATTCGTGGCATTCTTGGGGAGGGGGAGCTCATTTTCGATGTGCTTTGGGGATTCCACCACCTGTTGGCCCTTGAAAACATCGGCACAATGCGTCTTGTCGGCGATCCGGACAAAATGCTGTGGAACCGGGATGACAGGCTCTTGCTGGAAGGGGTGAAGGGTAGAGAGCTATTTGAGGGAGACACGGGTCATCGGCCTCGGGTGGTTTTCGAGCATCCTGAGGGTCTTGATGAGATGGGTGGGATGTTGTAACGGCGTGTGTCCAGGGGAGGTGAGCTTATAGCAGATGACCCTTTGGCGGTTCTTTAGCTATCGCTTCATAACGCAAATAGTTTTTGGTCCGCATCCAGAAAGCTCCTGATGATACACATGCTCGTGCTATGCTTGAGCCGCATACTCAACACGGTGGATGACCTGATGATGGACGAAGGTGTCGCTTTGGGAAAGCATGGGGTCGACCAATCGGCCTTCAAGGGTTGAAGAGAGTGTACCTATCTACCGAGCTGTTCTTCTCTCGTCTTTGGGAAAGCTACTGAGGCATTTGATCGGCATCCATCAGATAGCAAATCAACTTCGATGTCTTTATTCTTGCGAAACAAGACCATCAATATCAATCAGAGAGCATACGGAATTAAAAAGGGTATTATGGGCTTATAACGAAAAGAAACCCGCTTGGATGTCAAAACGTATCTCCTCGCCGGGTCAGAAACATTTCAATTGGTTTCATGCTCATGCAGCCCGTAAGCCCAAGTGGCCCATTGCTTCGATAGGTCGTTCCGCCCGCCTATTCTTCACTCCTCTTCTTGCTCAAGGCTCATCCATAAACGAACTTGAGAACAATCACGCACTCGAATCCCTCTTCATCTGCTTCAACTCCTCCACCACCCTCTCGACCCCCCATCCCTCCTTCAACCCTCTCAGGACAATCTCCTGCTCACTCTCCGGCGCCATCCCACTCGGAGCCGGCGGCCTCCTATCCAGATTCGTCGGAAACGGGTACCCATCCGCAACAGCCATCACCAGCGCCTCAAGCCCAGCATCCAGCCGCTCCCCGGCGTCCTTCCACCGCTGCACAATGTCCCCCCAACACCTCTCCACAATTGGAATCGTATCAATGCTCTCCATCGTCTTCCCAAACGCACAACTAATCTGCAACAGGTTCGCCTTGCGCTGGAAACCGCCGTCAGGCTCGTCAGGCCCAGAACCCTCAGGAGCCATCTCATTCGCCCCCGCCGCATGAAACACCGCCGGATTGAAAAACACCCCATCCCCCAGTTCCAGCAGCAGCGCTACGTAGTTCTCCCGGAAAAAGGCCCGGAATTCCTCCGCCCGCCACGCAAGGTACCCCGCCTCGTAGCACTGGCTGAAGGGGAGGAACCGCGTCGGCCCACTGCGCGCCGGCATGTCGCTGTGCGCCACCGCCCCCTGCAGCGTGAGATACTGCGAGGCGAGCTGCAGGGTGCGCGGGAAGCGCGCGGTGGTGGCTACGTCTTGGAACCCCAGGTGGTAGTCGCGGTGGGATTCCTGGGCGGCCCCGCCGGGTTTGACGATGTTGACTTGGGCTGTGATGCGGTAGGCCGGGCCGAGCCAGGATTCGGCGATGAGGCGGAGCCAGGGATTGGAGTAGTAGGCTGTAAAGGAGCGGGGGTCGAGGAGGGCATGCTTGCTGAAGGAGTTCCAGATGCGGTCGTTTTTGCCGCTGGCGGCGAAGTGGTCGCCCTTCTTTGTGGAGGTGAGGCGCTCTTGGGCGATGATGCGGGTGAAGGTCTCCGTGGTGGCTGTTAGGGTTGGGCCGTAGCGAGCTGGACGGTACATGCCTTTTAACACGACGATGCCTGGGCCGGTGTTGAGGGCGTGGTGCCATTCGTTTTGGAGATGGGTGGTGAGCTCCGGGTGGAGGTGGTCAAGGGTAGTTACATCGTAGATGGGGATGTTCTTCTCAATGCACGAGGACAAAGGGTAAGTGGCTTTGTTGGTGGTACGGCTGCATATCGCTTTGAGGTCTTCGATTCGAAGAGTGGTGTCGAACAGTCGACTGGTTGTTGAAGGATTTCCGCTCATCGTGTGGAGTGTTGTAGCAGAATGTTCTGACGCGTAGTCTGACTGCACAACAGTGTTTCCCCTTGTCATCATCGAACACCGTTTAAATAATCTCTGCCTCAGTTCTGAATTCCGATGATCGAATCATGGTGCAGATGAATTGCGGGGAACAGATGGAGCTGAACTCCACAGATGACAACTCTTCTTAGGTGTAAAGCGCACACTGGATGAACTTACTTGGCTCCAGGCGGAATTCGACCTCCGCGTCTTACCTTGCATGTTGATTGTTGACCATATACTTCCTGAGTAGAGTTCGCTTCATGAATATGAATGCCAACATCATCCTTTAGCCTAATGCTGTGGCCTCAACTTCGATAGCACGGTGGATGGTTCAAGAAGGAAACCTATTTCCGATATTCACAACTGTACGTACGTACCTCCTCATGAGCTCGCACCACTTCATGAACGGTGTTATTACAGATGTACAGAGGCTTTGCAGATGCTCAAACTGAGAAACAAAATTCACAGCAAGGGTATGAGTTCAACCATTGACGATGCCACCGTTCCAAGTCACGACTTTGCCGATGCCGTAAGATTCAAGAGTGCAGCCGAAAAATTGAGACATTACCCTCCGAGCGTCAGAAGGAAAAAGAAGCGCCATCGAAGCCATTGGTCAAACAATTCAACAAAGAAAAAGACGTTACTTAGGAAACAATACACAAGAGAAAGAAAATTCGCCATACCAGCATGTGCCTCGCTAATATCATGCCCAAACCAACCCAGCCTGCGCAAAAGTCTATGCTGATGACTCGAATTTGCACCTGAACGGAGAACCAGAAGAAGAAAATGCTATCCATCAGATTAAACGCCATCTCATCAACATGCGTCGTGTTCATGCATTCATCATGACCACTCCGACGCCCGAGGCTGGAGTGGGCTCTGTTGGGGCTGGCTCGTCTGCTCCCGTCGACTCGCTCAGTATGAGCTGATTCTCGGACATGGTTTCCACTAGGGAGCTGGGCCGATCAGCCACGGTAAAGAGAACCTTGAGGAGCACCTTTTGATTCCGAGAACCGTCTGCTGTATCGTCCACCCGATGCCTGGTATGGGTCATCAGAGTGCGAACCAGATCCCGAATATGGGTGTCGGTAGATTCGTCCTGGAGCTTATCGAGACCATCGATCACGCAGACCAGCAGTGGTGGCGCATAGTGTAAAAGCGCATCGATAAGCGAGAGGACCGTTTTCCACGAGGTAAGGGTGCCATCCAAGGATGTGAAACGCTCCAGACCCAAATCACAAGCATCGTGACTCTCCACTACGGGCGGGAGGTAATCGATTAATTGCCGGATCAGACTGTAAGCGAGGGCAATAAGACCCTGTTGAAACAAATTCGAACCGTCTGCAGACTGAATCGGGAGGGAGCAAAAGTGGGAAACGACCGGAAGCCGTGCCTGTCGAGCAAAAGCGGCGAAACAAGCAGAGAAAAGGGCAACGGTGCTGGGAAAGGTGGCGGGTGGAGATCCGCCCACAGCGAGCATCTGCGAATGAGAGTTTGTCGCCCACTGTTGCAACGACTGTAGCACACTATCTTCGGCAATAACATCCACGCCAGATTCGAAGTCGGCCACTTGGTCGTCAGCATTGAAGAAGTCCTGGAGATGCCGGGAAGAGAACTGAAGATCGGTCCGGGTGTACTTGCGTTTCGGGCCGCGAGACCATTTGAATCTTGAATCGTCTTTGAAGAAATACATTAGCTCTATCTGAAAAATCTTTTCAACAATGGTGCATACCCAAGTCGCGCGTCGCAACCGTCGTCCAGCATGTGATACCACTGTTTTGTTGGCTGACCGGACGGAGGCTTTGACTGGCAGAGTCCAGCAACTGCGAAAGCAGAACATCTCTCATGACGGCCATTCTGGCACGCGCGGACGCAGCATGCTGGATTTCCCAAATCAACTGACGGGTGATAGCATTCTGTGCCGCGAACCGACGATCCGATTTTTGCAAGCCGATTTGGTTCAGTCGAGCTTGTTCCCACAAGGAAAGATCAGGGTATTGGAATATGCTGTGTTCCCCAGCGCAGTCCAAGGTATCAAGATCCATCTCGTCGGTGAGCACGCGGCTGATATTTCTGGCACACTCTTGAATACTGCGAAGCAAATGTTCAAAATCCAGATAAGGGTCCAGACTAGGACTGTTCAGCAATCGACATTTGGCCTTTCTGACATACCAATCCATAAACTCTCCCAGCAAGAGGAAGATGAGGGCGTAAAATTTTGCAATGGATAGGACCAAGTCTTTGTTCGATGAAAGATCATGGTCTCCAGCTGGAAGACGAACGAATTCATTGATTTGGAGCAGGATTGCGAGTAGGCCTTCAATGACCCTGGGGTAATTTGCAGAAGCCTATTCCATCCGCTTGATCAGTCTTTCTGATTCAAGAAACGAGAAAGTTTGGTACAGAAAACCTTACTTTGATGATTGACTGCAAGACCCCGTGAAAGAGAGCGAGGTAAGCTTCGTTTCTAGGAAGGGCCGGCAACAGCACCAAATGCAGATGGACAGAAGCGATGAACTGATCACAGAGAGCCATGGAACGGCTAAACACTCGCCGGCGTGGGTTAGACATCCAGACAGTCTGCACATTGCCTATCATGGCCGAGACATCGTGGAACTCTTGAAGGCGTTCGTCGAAGCCGACCTGATCTTGCTCCGGCAGGTTTTCCTGAAATTTCTTCCAAGTCTGGGCCAATTCATTGCATTCAACGTCGAGTTTTGCAACCACGGGGTTCCTGAAGGTCAGGGGATTAGAAATCCGGCTCTGGAATGTTGCAAGACGATACGATGATGACAACCGTCAAGCCGACGTGGTGTCCGATTCCGGGGAGAATATGGATTGCCACGGAACATGTGAAAAGATGGATGTGAGGAACTTACGAAGAAAAATGTCTCTTCTCGAATCGTTTCTCCCACAGATTGATGGCCTTTTGATTGTTTTGAGGACACTGAGAAGTCTCTAAGGCAGGGGGGTCGGCTAAAGATGCCATATTGATGCAGAATCACCGGGTCGAGATGGCGACTCTGCGCTGTTGGATGTCCGAAAAGGAAGACGAGGGGACAGTCTCGTCGAGGAGAGCGAAGTGTTCATGTCAGAAGCCAAAGAATTAATCAAGTGAATGGGTTCTCAACAGATCTGTCGCCGAGCCATCAAGTGCTGGGGCTCTTGTTCCGGAACGTTCTGCTAGTAGTATGGTGGTTTGTCGGGGTTGCCTAAGGTACTATGATTATCTATGGCAATCCCATGTTGTGCACTCTTTTGCAACGGAACGTCCCGCTAAGCAGATGAAACCTCTTCCTAAGTTGCTGGGGTTGGAAGTCGGACAAGGAGGGGAACTGATAGGTGAAGAGGTACTCCGTAAGTACAGTCAGTCAGTCGTAGAAAGGAAAAGAGGAGAGAAAGAGGGGAATAATAATGGAGAGAAGAAGCAGCATCACCCAGAAAAGGGTACCTAAGTACGAGACATGAAGTTTGGATTTTAGTTCCTTCCCTTTTCTTATTTGTCTTTTCTTTTCTTTTCTTTTTCTTTTTTCTCCCCTAAATCCGTTTCTTTCAAGAGAAATTTCCTTTTCAGAATACTTAATGCAAGCAATGGAACAATAACAATCATACGGAGTATTAAGGTACTGGGAACCTACGGGCCTAAGGAGGATAAGAGTCTCTTCTCCCGTCTGTTCGATTCAAGGTCTCGACCCTAAGCCGAACAGAGAAAACCACTCAGCAGGGAACCTCCACGCCTCTTGAGCATCATCAGCCAATCAAGGGAGATGCTGACACGGGCAATGGGGCGTCTGGATGGTCGAGGCCTCGAATAGAAGCGGGGACAGGCAGCGGATAAGATAATCCAGGCCTTCTTAGCCTATGGGACGCTCCGCTGCTAATTTTGGTCTTTCAGCGAGTTGTGATGGATCATGGCTGGTGATGGCTGATGTCTTTTCCAACAGAAAGTATCCTGGTCGTTGGTATCTACATTGAGGAGATTGGTTTCCAATATTGCTGTTGAGCTGCATCGATAGCTATGCATATATAGAAGGTTGATTTCATGAATACCCTCCCTCCATCATTTCAGAATGTCAAAGAAACATCCAGATAAGGTATGTACTGCCCACTTCCTCTTCGGTCAAGTTCGAGGTGCATGTTTTGACTTCTCCTTCTTACCCCTATCTTCTAGCTCCATTCCTGGAATGATTTTCATACCAGAATCCCCTTTAGACTTTGGCACTGAAAGGTTTATCTACCGTCTGGCATCTGACACCGTCACCGCCAAATCATGGCTGCAAGAAATGGCTCATTGAACAAAGGCTCTCACTCATCAAGACGGACAATAGCCTAGGCCAAAGCCAGTCTTACTGTCAGTCAGTGTCAGATGGCCCGAACCATCAAATCCGGTGAGCCACAGTTACTTCTTTGTTCGATGTGCATTGTCGCTTTGACATCCGAGTCAGATCATAGCCGTTTTTCCACGGTCGGTATCTAGGTTGTAGTCTAGTCATCCGTCTGCCACATTCCTGGTGCGCCTCCGCAGAGATCAACAGGAATGTGCAATGACACCTTACTTGGACCGACCGATGCAACCGTTGATCCCGTTTCAGCAGCGACTTCTAGTTCTTAGTGCCCATGAATTGAAAGGAAAGTATTGTGCTTGGTTTCAAGTTTGATAGCGACCTTGGCGCATCACGAACCAACAAACCATGCTCGTAAACCCACCCGACGGCGGCTCTTGTAACTTCATAAGTCTGTTTCCTGTTGCCGCACATGATCCAGATCATTATGGTCTTTTCTTTTTCTGGTCTGGAGCACACGGACCAAGTGTTGCTGTCAAAGAGTTGCGACCCATCCCTTTCCGCCAATCACCAATGACTACGGTGGAGCCACAGGGCTATCTGCTTCTTAGCCTTTTGATCGGATAGAACCGCCAGGCATGTAATCATTTGTGGCATGGTATCGAAATTCTCTCTGAATATATTTGGATTGGGTTCTGTCAGGTGAAGCTTGCGCAAGACCTCGGAAAAGTAATGCGTTGCACATTTATCCCAAGAATCCAAGTGTCAACAACACCAACAGCGCCTACCTAGTAGTCTAGGCTCTTCTGCATTGGATACATGAACCCAATCTCTTCCCCTGAGGGTGACTACCAGACATGTCAACTCTATGCAGATGCTTCATTTGCCATATGCATGGACATGCATAGTGGCTTTGGAGACCTGGTTGCAGCTGCTCATTACTCAGTCAAGATCGATTTATCTACCTAGTCTCGTTAGGATGAAGGTGAGTATACGCCGATCGCAGTTATCCCGAGATCTTTCAATTGGCCAAGTAGCTCGAGATCCTTTCATCTGCATAAGCTCTACGGCGTAGATCGAGACATCAGTGTCTTTCTGTGGGAAGCCATAGCAACACACCGCAATTTCGCTTCACCGCGCTCAGTTGTCAGAGTGTGCATTCGCACTCAGTGTCCATCAAGCTCAAAATATCCTGTGGCACCTGTCTTTGATCTGTACTGTATGCGTCGTAATCACACTGCATACACAGTTCAGAAGAGATGATTAACCAGCTTGTAAGTTAAGACAGCATTCTTTGGCCAAGGGGTAAGGTGCAGCCAAGACAACATAGATGGGACTCTATTGAGGAGAAGAATGCGGAGTCTGGACTTGTCGCATTGAAGTTCCTAGTGGGCCTAGTGGGCCAGGGAAATCGTACAAGATGCAGTGTAACCCATGGCATTTGAGATGGTGAGACATTTGACCTTGCTGCCATTATTTTCAGGCAGATAATGATGAAGTTAGACTTAATGTGCGTTTTGGCTGGCGCGTTGTTTCTGACGTTGTAAGAATGAAGAGTTGATATATTTATGCAAAAGATGGACCGAGGGGTATCGTGGATTGACACCCTGACAATGCTCATAGCCTCATTAGGTTCATGTAAGTCCACTTCGGGATTAAGCATGGTCCAAGTCTGAGCTTAGCCTGTCTAATAGAATACTAGTACTACGAAGACGAAGTACTCTGTTTGAGGCTTTGAGCTCAACAAGAGCAATTTCCAGAGGCTAGTGAGTCCGCCGGGCAATGCTCACTGGGAGCGCAAACGTCGGAATTTCGGTAATGGATATCCGACAGCAAGTTTAGGAAGCGAAGTGCGAACATTAACAGATGACAGGAGGCACAGGTGAGCCTGTGAGCCCATGACATAAGCGGCCTAGGACTCTTGTCTCCACCAAAATACGATTACGAAGCTACCACCAGCTTACCTCAAGATAGTGCAAGATGATATGATAAGAATTTGTCAAAGATGGTTGCTCCGATTCCGGAGACATCCACATGGAAGAGCCGGGGAATCACCGGAGATTTGTGTGAGGTTGATTCATAGGTTCTCAGACTATCGGCAGGGCAGAACTGAGTATCTTTCCAAGAAACTCTTCGTTGCATAGGTTGGGGGAGGATGAATGTGGAATTGTGGATGAGAATAGACAATAGGAGCACCATGTGGTTTGCTCAATCAACGTCAATGTTGATGACAATGTGATTAAACCCATGTGAAGGAGAGCAACCTAGGTAGAGACAGTCTCCATGGTTAAGATCTACCCTTCTTCAATGGCGAGCAAATCCAGAGCCGAGTTACGCCCAGCGATGATGCAACGATTGCATGGCTGATGATCAGATGCTTTTCATCATCTTCCCGACTACAATATGCCGACTTGGCTCGCCAGTTAGCAGTTGATTGTCATTTAGTGCCGTCTTAGCGGAGTACCGGATAGAATATCTCCGCCTCATTATTGAGAAATCATGAAGATGCTAGATAGATAGTAGTTACCTTAGAACCTGGACTGGGAAAGTCTAATAAGATCATCATCAACAGCAATGATTCACCTTGTCCGCGGCCAACGCCAGCGGTCCCATCATCCCATGGATCGACCTTAACAAGCCCCGCACCAGAGAGATCATCGTAATGATTGGATTCAGAATCAAGAGGACACCTGCCTTTTCAGTGAGACCATCCAACCCTTCTGTCTGGATTGTTAAATAAGAATTCTTGTTCAGGAATAATAATAGGTATGCTCCAGAGTGGCTGAGAAGTGAGGATACACCTGCGCACCATCGATCGAATCGAGAGCACGATGACTTGATAGTACGGAGTACAGAGGCTGGATAAGATCGCACGCGATGCTGATGATGATCCCTTATCTTAGCCTCGATGATCGGTCTTGTCCTTCTTTGTCTCTTCCCCAAGATTTGAATGGAAGTACTAGTCTCCTGGGAGAAATTCAGAATAATATTCGGTACCTAATGAAATCTTCTACATAATTAGTTCTTCCAATCCTGGCCTCCAAAATCACCATGGAGGGTTGGATACTGTACCTAGGTAGTTAGCGTCGTTCTGCTCCTGTATATTATACTAGCACCCTTCAATCTTTTCTTCGATATCCCCTTTCATCATCCCCAATCTATCCATTTCATAGCTGCGACCAGCTTACGGTCCGGTCTACTTTCGGGACACTGGACAGCCGTCACAACAGAGCCAAGGATGCATAGCCCCTCTCATTTCACACTTTAATATTCCCTGGAGGGGGATCCTTTTCCGATCGTGCCGGAAAGACTGGGAATACTCGCTGATCGCCAGTCGCTGCATCATCACGCTTTTGCCAGCACAAGGCACAATCATCGACTGTAAGTACCGGTGTTTGACCTGCACATCTCACGCTGGTCAACCGCTGGCTGTCAATCAATACCCACCTCCACTGCGGTCCACTCCTGTTGTGCCCTGATCCTTGAAAGTGAAACTGAAGACTGGTTGTCGCTACAGCGTCGGTTTCAAGCGCTCGCTCTTCTTCTCTCGTCTCTCTCGTCTGCTCCCTTCCTTTTTACCTTTTTCTGATTCTTCTCGGTTTCCCCATTTTCCAATATCCAATCCTCCCCGCCCCATTATTATCCCCGTCTGTATGCTGAATGTTCTTGCATTATTATTTGTATTTGCAAATAATTCGGCCATCCCTTCGGTCGCCTGCATTAGCATTTGTAGTCGCCGTTCGTAAGGGATCAACCCTGCCGTGGGAGAGGCTGTTCCATCATCGATAGTCATTTTACTTTCCTCTTTTTCTCTTATTTCTTTTTTTCCCTTTCCCTGGCCCTTTTTTTGCGGTGGATTACTGCACGGAGTACGGAGTACAGGTTGGACGAGATCCGTGACTAATGATATTCTGTGCACCCCCCATAGTTAGTTACCCTCCGCTGTTTCCGTAAGCCTCGTCACCGTGGGGAAATCCCCCATCGATCCGGGCTGATCCTTTCGATGGAGCCCAGACAAATACCCTCTGTGTTTCCTTCTTCCTTTTCTTCTTTCTCTTCACTTTTCTTTCTTTTTATTCTCTTCCTCTCTCTCTCCTCCACTGTTCGAGCGACAGGGTCTTCGGCTGGCTGTACCGTACTGCCGTCGAATAGCTCTGCGGATCTGTCGTTCACGGACCAAAAGAGGTTCCATCTGCAGAGCAATCAATTCACTCTTCCGACGAATGTCGTTGTCGCGCCTCTGACCCAGTCTTTGATCAATTTGAATGGTACTGACCTTCAGGTGAGTTATATCTTCCGAGATAGAAGTCACATGAGACTAATGATATCATAGAGGTTCAACATCACTGGGAATCTAGTGGACGTTGGCGCATACAACTCGCTCAGTGTGAGTACAGGTGATATTGCCTTTGTCAGCTGCGACACGTCTGTGTACCCAGGCAATCTGGATGCCAGTGCAACGGTATCGAATCTCCTCACAGCGCAAGAGAAGGCGTCCGCGGTTCTTCTGTACAGTGCTTCTGCTTCCCATTGCAACTACACCGTGAACAACGACGCTGTCGGCCAATATACCAACGTCTTCACCCTTTTGAACTCAGCATTTGCGGACTCCCTTAGTGATCAACTCGGTAAGCAGAACGGGAACGGCTCTCTCAGCATTGTCTACAACATGTCGTTCGTGGGAACAGTCACCCCGTCGACCCCGGATGGGTCAACGGACAGCCCCAATACCGGTGCGTTTCTCTTCCCCGACAAGGCTAGAGTCCTCCTAACTGACTGAAATCTAGCCATGATCATTCTATACAGCATCACAGGCATTATTACTGCGCTATTCTTAGCGATCATCATTACCGGGGCTATCCGGGCTCATCGCCACCCGGAACGCTATGGCCCCCGATACACGGCGGGGCGGCCTCGGCAAAGTCGAGCGCGAGGGATAGCAAGGGCGATGCTGGATACAATTCCCATCGTCAAATTTGGGGATAGTTCTGACCCCAAGACAGAACCCGTCAAGGGTGATGTGGAGATGTCCCTCGGGTCCGAGGAAGGGGTCAATGAGCATCGAGAGGCACCCGCTGCCAATGGATCCCCTCCATCTGTGACTGTTGGCCAGCCCAACGATGGAACCGAACCCGCCAATGCTGAAACCAACGCCGAACGGCGAGGTACACCAGCACCCGCGCCAGATACGGAGTCGCCGAACGAGCATCCAAACTTTTCCTGTCCGATTTGCACTGATGACTTCATCAAGGGTCAGGACCTCCGCGTGTTACCCTGCAACCATCAATTCCACCCCGAATGTATCGATCCTTGGCTGATCAACGTATCTGGCACTTGCCCGTTATGGTATGTTTTGTGTCATTTTCGTTCGTTCAGATATACAAGCTGACATATCATTAGCCGGATCGACCTCAATCCACCACAGGCCGAGGAAGAAAACGAGCAGGGTGAGGGTGGCAGCAACGATGCCTCTCAAGACAACGCGACTGCACCCGCAGCAGACGCTACTCCAAATCGTCAACATCGCCGGATATCTTCCTATCTGCATGGCCCCTTGAATGCTCGCCGGATGCGCGATGCGACCGTGGAGGAAAGACTTGCAGCGCTCCGGAGCGTACGGGAGGAAGCAAGCCGGGACGCTGGCAATGAAGAGGCTGAAAGCCGACGCAATCGACTGACGGCACGGTTACGCGAGCGATTCCGCATACGAACACGCACACATGGGGTCGAGGCAGCGGCGCAATCGTAGATCCGCTGCGGACATCGTCACCCCGGCCATGCGACTTGGATGCCAACTGATCGATTTCGATTCGCAATCTAGCACATCGCCTCAGTATGAAAGATTTGCAGTCATTTACGATTCATTTCCCTGTGTTATATTTCGATTTTGAATTTGTGGTACGATGAGGGCATGGCGTGGCTTGGTCTGCCGATATTTATTGGATACTGCTCCCTTCTCACTTTTCCTCTGGATGATTGATGAGTATATGGTTATGGTTATGGTTACAGGTAAGAATGGGCGATACAAGGCGTTTTTGGAGATTGGAGTCTTGGTTTGAGCGGCCTCAAAAAGACCTTTTGCATTTGGCATGATTTCGCTTCTTTATGCATATATGTACGAGACTCCAAGAATGACATGCACAAATACCATCTACGGTAGGACCATTCAGTCATAGACATTTTCATGTAAGATGGTTCCGGAATCCGGCGACGGCTTCGACAGAATTTCCTCGTTGGGAAATCGTCCACCCCGTGGGGAAAATGGACGGGGACGGTGGATTCACGGCGGCGGAGTCAAGAGGCTGGGCAGTGGCCACGATGCGGTTGATTGAACTTTTCTAGCGTTATGATTCGGCATGGAGGCCGAATCTGAAATAACTGCCTCCGTTCATTTCTGGAATGGCCTGAATGATAAGAGCTCGCGTCCGAACACCGAATTTCCTAGCAAGGTGATATCCATAAGGTATGTCTTGAAGCGCAAACAATACCCGGGCAACTCTGTAATTTGTCCAGGTGCTCCGTACAGGTAATCAGCAAGGTAGCCTACTCCGTAGTGGTAGCTACTCAGAATCTGCAGAGTGGATGCCGAGACGAATCAAAATTAAATCACGCATCTGTAGACTACCTACTCCATAGGATTGATCGGGGGAACTCCGTCGGGTCCCTGCCTGGTGAGGCTTTTTCTGGAGGATAAGGTACCTACCTTCGGGAGGACCTTACAAACTTACAAACTTACAGGGACGAGGGAAATGATTGGGGCCGGTTAATTATCGTCGGAGGTTTGATGGCACATTTAGCCTTATTAACTAAGGTACCTATGTGTTCGAATGCAGACTGCGAAGTGTGTATGGGAATCAACAATATTAACGAGGTAGACTGTCTTCTGGTCAAGGGAGCCTGGACACTGCGAAAGACTATAGTTGTCAATCGTTGTTATATGTCCTCTCGAGTACTCCGTAGGTAAGGTAGTGATGGTGATGATGATGGTGATGGCTGACTTTACAGCCTCGGTATCTGGTTGGCCGAGCATGACGCATGCCCTGAATATCAGGACGGAGTACCTGGCCAGCTGTAAACCATATATTTTGATTCTTGCCAATTGCCATAGTGATCGAGATCTATAGTCGAACTCTCTCTGCTGTCGATGATATTTCAGGACTGTTATTGACCCAAGTTGATACACTTGCTGTCAGATTGATCTCCGCGTAGAGAAAGCAACTCCTCCAGACAATGCACAGATCTGGTAAACATGATAGACAATAACTTATCTCAAGGATAACATCCTAATGCTCAAAGTGCTTTAATAAGGACCGTAGCATGTGATGTCGTCATGCTATCTTTTTGTAATCGGCATCGGGGCATGCGAGTTCCTCGGCTCGCCGTCAGGAGAAAAAAAATCACGCTTCGAGTCGGGAGAAGTTGGGTCGAATGATTCTCTTACATAAATAGCGAAAGGAAGGGAGAATATAATGGATAATGGGCTGATTATTATTACATTTTGTTTTTTTGCCCTTGTTCTGAATTATCGAGTATTGACTCAGTGTCAGATCAGGATCAGATAGATACATACGTACGATTGCCATCCCCAATATTACCCTTTTCAGACTCAAAAGATACCCCTCACTGGGACTGGATTTCCCCTCATCGTCATATCTCTCTGTCGGCATATCATATCTTCGATATATCGACATTCCCTATCATCTTCGTGATTCGTGACACTTGATAGACTCCGTCGGAATTTATCTGCTTCTTTCCTGGGCCTGTCAGTTGACCGAATCGCTCCGCCCGGTGAACGCAAGCAGAATTGCTCCCCTGGTGGTATGACTGCACTGGAGTCTGGACGGTTTCTGAATGAGCATCTCCAAAAATAAACCCCCAATAACGGCTGAGTTTGTTTCGAGAGCGAGAACAGAAGATCCAGAACAGGAAAAATTCCCGCATTCTGTGTTTCCATTACTCATACCGTTGGCCTTTATTTACCCGTCATTCTCATCTGCATCCGGCATCATGTCTTCCCCGCGTCTACACTCTACTCCTAGTACTACTACTCCTACTACCACCACCTCTACATCCTCCTCCTCCTCATCATCCTCCATCGCTCGAAATCGTCTCGCCTCCCTTTCCTCTCACATCATGGGTTCCTCCAGCCCGTCCGTCTTCTCCACGGCCATTGTGCCCGCCGCTCCAGAAGATCCTCTCTTCGGTCTGGCTCAAGCTTTCCGTCAAGATCCCTCGGAGAAAAAAGTCGATCTCGTCATTGGCGCCTACAGAGACAACAACGCAAAGCCTTGGATCCTTCCTGTAGTAAAAAAGGTGATTCAGCATCTCGTTAACAGCATCCTGATGAAAAGAGGCTGTGACTGACCGATTTGATCCAGGCCGACGAGGCAATCCGCAACGACCCTAACCTCAACCATGAATATCTTCCCATCAAAGGTCTTCCAGATTTCACCTCGGCCGCTCAGAAGCTCATAGTCGGTGCGGATAGTCCGGCCATTCGTGAGAACCGAGTATGTTGCCCCGCGCTCACTCTCCGGATCGTCCTTGCGACCGTAGTCGGATATCGGAAAACTAATCGGCGGGCTGATAACAGGTCTGCACACTGCAAGCCATTTCAGGCACAGGTGCATTGCACTTGGGCGCATTGTTCCTGGCCAAATTCCACCCGCGACCCCCCAAGGTCTACCTCTCCAGCCCCACCTGGGCCAACCACCACCAGATCTTCACCAACGTCGGCCTCACCCTCGCCAACTACCCCTACTTCTCCGCAAAAACCAAGGGCCTCGACTTCGACGGCATGCTCAGTGCCCTGCGCGAAGCTCCAACTGGCTCCATCATCGTCCTGCACGCCTGCGCCCACAACCCCACCGGCGTCGACCTGACCCAGGACCAGTGGAAGCAGGTCGCGGTCGTCCTGCGCGAGCGCCAGCACTTCCCCTTCTTCGACACAGCGTACCAGGGCTTCGCGTCCGGTGACCTTGCCCGCGATTCCTGGGCGATCCGCTACTTCGTCGAGGAGGGCTTCGAGCTCTGCATCGCCCAGTCCTTCGCCAAGAACTTTGGTCTGTACGGCCAGCGCACCGGCGCCTTCCACTTCGTCTCGGCCCCCGGCCCCGACGCCTCAACCGCCAACGCCCACATCGCCTCCCAGCTAGCCATCCTGCAGCGCTCCGAGATCTCCAACCCGCCCGCGTACGGCGCGCGCATCGCCGGCCGCATCCTCAATGACCCCCAGCTCTTCGCCGAGTGGGAGGAGGACCTCCGGACGATGAGCGGCCGGATCGTGGAGATGCGCAAGGGTCTGCGGGAGCGCCTCGAGGCAAAGGGCACCCCCGGCAACTGGGACCACATCACCAGTCAAATCGGCATGTTCAGTTTCACCGGCTTGACCGAAGCGCAGGTCAAGATCCTCAGAGAAAAGTGGCATGTGTACATGGTACGTGGCTGTCTTTCTCCTTTTCTTATCCCCGGAGGCAGCGGCGCCGGCTAGACACCGCACTTTCTGGGGTTCTCCACCCGCCCGCGTCTCGGACCCCAGCCACGGCAATTCGCTTTGTCCACCCCCCTAGCCTGACTGTCGAGACGACAAGCTAATCCTTAATTCTCTAGACCAAGAACGGCCGTATCTCGATGGCGGGCCTTAACACAAATAACATCGACTACTTCGCCGAAGCGGTCAACAGCGTCGTCCGCGAGACCTCATAGTCGCTTCTGCTCGTTTCTTCGCCAGATACTCCGTCATGACCCATCCTCATCTCTTATCCATTCTAATTCCCCCTTGACATCTTCGGATGGAATGTATTTCCTTTTTACTCCTTCATGGCACTTCGGATTGAGACGTTACTCTGCTCGCATATGTAGATCGCCTTGGGCTAGGCTTTCCTGAATGAATTGATTCTGAACCACACTTGTGATCGATTATGGTCCAATGGTGTATATGGTTAGAATGGTATCGTAGTAATATGTCCGGTAATGCCATGCTGGCCGGCTAACAGCTAAAAAATCAAATCCCACACCACAAGCCACGTACACAATCCCACCGTCCCCCAAAACACCGCCTGCGCCGTACTGCGCTGCTGCGTCGCGCGCTTCAGCTCCTTGTTCCCCTGCCCAATGTTCGACGTCGTTGTCGACGCATCCATGACCAGCTGCTCGATATACTCCTCCTGCGTCGACAGATGCGACACAAGCGTCTGCTGGAGGGAGGAGATCTCCAGGAGCGATTTCTCGGCATTCCTGCACAAACACATCCATTAGCCCCTCACCTATCCACTAACATCAGAGGGTAAGGGAACGGTGGAACGTACTGCACTTGACTCAGCGCATCCTCATAATGCCTCAGCATGAGATCATTCTCCTCGGCGAACAACTGCAATTGCTCGGGGGACAGCTCCGCCTCGATCGCCGCCGTCTCGCTCTCGCTCAGCGTCCCCCCGCGCGGGCCAGAGGGTAAGTGTGTTTCCGGGATTGTCGGCGCCGGGACCGGGCCAGACACAGACACAGAGACAGAGACAGGGGGCCTGCCCCCCTCGCTCTTATACAGCACGCTCTTCTCCTTCTCCCGGACGCGCTCGATCCGCTTCTCGACCATAGCGCGCTGCGCCTCGGCCGCGCGCTCGAGCCCCCGCCGCAGGAACCAGAGGATGCTCTCGCGGACGGTGCGGAGGGTGCGCGCGCGCTCCTCGTCGTGGATCTGCTCGGGTGATTTATTTTCGGTGGTGGTGTTGGCGAGGGCGCTGGCGCCGCCGGCCCAGCGGAAGAGGGCGGACGGCGCGCGGTGTTTCTTGCGGAGGAGGCCGGTCTCGGTTTCCTGGCGGAGGGATTCTGCGGAGGAGAGGTTGGCGATTGAGGTGGAGAGGTCGCGGAGGAGGAGGGCGGTGGAGGAGTCGATGGAGTCGCGCTCGGTGTCGGTGAGGGGTTTGCTTTGGGGGGTGCCGGCGGTGGTGGAGGTGGTTGGGCTGGTGCGGAGGGAGGTGCTGCGG